TTATTAATGATTATCTTTGTTTTAATACAGCAAAATGTACAAGATAGATTTTTGGTCAAAACCATCTTTCCCATCCACCTTAATCTGTTTCATACGGAGGCTGGGAGAAACAGACGTGCCCTATGCACTAGCAATTGCTGAGTGTCCTTGCCTTTCTCTCTTTGCAAATCAAATGCCAGCAGAAAAATTGACTTGTTTGAAAGGAAGGTTAAAAGCAAAGATTCGGTTTAGCCTCATATAAAAATGATTTATCACTGTTTTACAGGTGCAGTTTGCAAGACTTTTTAAACTTTGGAAACTTGAATGCATGTAAAAAATTGCACTCCTCATACTCCAATCTGAAGTGTATTAAGGGCTACAGCCCCAACAGTGCAAGTGACACTGCTCAAGTGTGCAGACTGAGCTCTTGAGGAGCCCAGCTTTACTGGGCACAGCAGCCTGCTCCATGCCATCAATTGCAGCATGGGTCCCTAAATCTTGAAGTCTCTTCTCAGTCTTTCCTGAGATCAATATAGGTTTTGCCTGAGAAAGGTATGAGTCAAGACTTCAAGATATGGCCCTCAGTGGCTGAGAGCCAACTGAATATATTAGCTCATCTCACAAGCTCTGAATGCATGAAACCAAGGAAAGCTTTTCTACGCGTGGTCTGATTCTACCATCCATGTTTGTGCCAAGTAGACATGCGCAATGCCTTGACTTCCACCAGCTCTCTAACACGAGTGAGCGCTTCTCAAATAAGGGTGGCAGAATTGAGCCAATTATGAGATTCTGCAAAACTGGAATGTTTTTTGCAGTCAAGACAACCCCTCAGCCTGTACAGGATGGATGTATAATACTAAGTATGCTTTTTGAAAACACCTAGTGAACTAGGAATTTAAAAATTCCTACTGTTTGCTTGTCTGATATCATGTAAAAATTATTAGAATTACTCTTCCTAGACTTGATTTGTCTTTTTTAAACTTTTCCCTTTCCCCTGTCCTCCACACCTGTTTTGCTTTGATTAGTTTTTAAGATCCTGAGCAATCTGAGGATTACAAAAAAACAACAGCCAGTCTACCTAGGACCACAGCAAGTGCTTTAACAGCAAGAAGCCATGTTGTCTGCAACTGATGTAAATGTTGGTTAATTCACAACACAGAGAAGAGAATTTTAGAAATAATAGGGCTAATCCACCAAACTCTGACATCTTGTTTTAGACATCTACCGTAGGAGAGCAAAGCATATACAGAATGCAATCAACCACAAACACACACAAACATACACACAAGGAGGTCTGACCCACAATGTTTTGGATCTGATTCAAGTATGAGCAACTGCAGAGAATGGTAGAAAATTAGGTTTTATGGACAGTTACTTTAACTTCCTAAATTAAACTAAGGAGGTTCTGTCTAATTTATGTCAATGAGGTCAGGAATATATCCCCACATCTAAAGTGTCAACCGTAAGAACTCTTTTCAGGATAATTGTAAAATAACAATTTGTTTTTATTCCTATATGTCTGCATTTAGATGGAATTTATTTATTTGGCAGGTGAAAATTAGAAATTAGCTTAAAAAAAAGAACTGGAAATGACTGACCTTCAGATTGCTCTTTCTCAGTAGCCAGCTCTGGAGCTCATCTACACTTACAGGGTTAGCTGGTTGGTCCACAGCCGTAGAGGTTCTCTGGGAAACTCTCTAGTGTAGACACAGCTTATACAAGCAAAACAGTTCTTCTGCTAGGATAGTGCAATCCAGTTCCCCAAAGGGAATAAGCTATGAAAGCAAAAGAATATTTTTCCATATAACTGCTGTCATCCTAGGGTTTCTGTTCATGTAGCTCTGTTGGTGTATTTTTGCAATTCTAACAAACAAGAGTGTTGACAAAAATTTTTAGTATTGATCAAGCCTCTAAGCATGTTCTACGCTATCTATAGTGTTGTATGCCCCATGGCTAGCGTACAGGCTGCACAGTCAGGAAACAGCATTGTAGATGACTGACCTGAAGCCTGCTGAATCAGCAGAAGCATTTCCACTAACTTACACAGGTTCTGAATCAGGCTTGAAAGGACAGCAGTTTCCCAAATTACTACACAGAAAACCCATTTCCTATTTTCTCTGTGGCATGGTTACCCACAACTAATATTATTCAACAACAGAAGAGATTTCTTATAAACTTTGTATTTATTGATTTTTTGGGACAAATTAGATCTTCTGAATCCCAAAGTGTACATATATATATATATTTATATATAGCTTTCTCCATAGGGAAAACACATATATCAAAGGAGGAGAGACATTTCTAAAGTGCCCCTTGTTATACAGTACTGAACATGATTTCTAAGAGCATTAGAGTAAATCTGAAGTTTCTGTGTAGGAATGACAGGCGAGAAAAAGAGAGCTGCGGTTTGTTCTTTTCCCCACAGAAGAAAGCTTGCCGATTTAAAAAAACAAACAAAAACAAAGAAATGCTTCTGGTCACCATGGAGAATGCAGGTGAGAACAAGGACGATCCGGGACATTTAGACCAGTTTACTGGCTTTTCAAATGGGACAAGCCTTTCTTCAGATGAAGCGTGACACCGATGAAGGAGTTCAGACTATATTATCCAACTTCAAAGGGGAGAAAAAGTAGCAACGAAAGAGAACTTATCCATGGGTACTATTAGTGACATTGTTACCTTTAAATCATAAATAAAGTAGTAAAAGATTAAGAGGTCAGCAGGATCACATGTCCATTCAGTAAAGGCCAGTAAAAAATCGACAAGAAAACTTGTACCAAATGAAATAGGAACTCTTCTCCTGACCTCTTATATATTTTACCGTGGAGAACATGGAGAAGGTACTCCACATTTTAGGAACAACTGTATGTCTGTGTCACTACTACTACATGCAAAACCACATGTAAAAAGAGCAGGATAAACTTGCACGTGCTGTAACCGTAACTCCCTGTCAACACCTGCAAAAAGGAATGGGTTCAGGGCGTGCTCTCAAACACCACTCTCTGGTGCTCCTCAGCAACTATGTAGTATCACTTGCTGTTGTGCCCAGCTGGGCTTTTTCTCTTTTAACAAGCTTAGCCATTGTTGGCTAGAAATGAGGCTTCCTGCCTTAGTTCTGTTATTCTGTAGGGATCTGTGAGCTGGAACAGCGAAGAAGAAAGGTAGAAGGCTGTTTCCTCTTCCTGTCTAACACAGCTACAGGAAACAAAGCCACGCTGTTTCTCCTAAGAAGGCAGATGACCCTGCTGCAAATACTCAGTGCTTTCAAGAGTTTCTGAAGAATAACTGTCCTGATATCTAATGCTGATGTCCAGTAGTAACAGTCAAAGGCTCCCACTTGCATGCAAAACCTCTTTGAGAAAGCACCTGAATGTACAAAGGAAGCAATAAACCTCTAGTGATTCTGTATTCCCCTGCAACATTAACAGTATGCTAGAAATGAGAAAGAACAATCTGTAGAAACGTGGTTTAAAGACAAGAAATCCCTTAAAGATTTGTCCATTCTACTATAGAAACTGTGCTAGCAACATGGGCAAGAGCTTCCTGGATTAATATGAATGTAAGGGAAAAAGTGTTAACTACTGAGTAGCCCAGGCCTTTATAAATATGGATTTAATGTAGTTCTTAGCCATGACTACTCAGAAGGCAAAATCATACTTGATCTCTGTTTGCAGTAATTCCTGTCTCCAGCACAGTTTCAACCACAGTTTGGACGGTTTAAAATTGGCAAGCTTTTTTAATTAAACTTATGCCACTGTTTACAGCAGTCCATAATGAGGCAAAAATCCTGGTGGAGTCAGCAGGCATTTATCACATAGACTACAGATTAAGTTTTCCCACAGAAGATTTCAATCAAAAGCTAGATTGAGACAGCTAGCACAACGAAAGTGGTCCCATGACTGCTCAACCCCATCTTACCTCCTCCTCTGAAATGGTGTCATTTCCAAACTGTAACTGGTCAGATGCTAGCAGGGACCATCCTCTTATCCTGACCCAAGGAAAATGTCCACTGGCTACAGCAAGAATTTTGCCTGCGTTAGGACTGCAGCTTTTGTTTTTAAAAAAAGAGGAAGATGGAAAAGAGATCATTAATAGTAGTACTACACACAAAATAGTGCAAGGAACATAAGAGAGATCATTAATTGCAGTACTACATGTATGATGGTGCAAGGAACAGAATATTCAGTCAACAATGAAACATGTCCTAAGCAACCAACCTGCCAGACAGGCTGGCAAATACCAGCAGAGACAAATAATATCCCTCATCTTGTAACTCAGTGGGAGTTTGCCATTAACTGGAGATCTGACCTAACTTTCAGAAAAGACGGAACAGGACAGTTACTCAGTATGTGGGGTTGTTCTTTGGTGCCACGTTTCACTGTAGTCTGTAAGACAAACTGTCAAGTTATTGATACTGATCTCATGGAATTTACTGTTATCCTATACAAAACTAGATTTGCTTTCTTTTCCCCCAAAATAAAAAGGCTGTCAAAATTGCTTGCACTTTGTAGCATATCACATGCACTTTTATCCTTTTTCTAATCTACTGACTACTCCACACTAAAACATGGTCAGTTAAGGAACAAAGAAAAGAAACCCCTTCAGCAGATCAACTTAATTTCTGTTGGGCTTGTCCCAGGTTCCCTTCTCAGACCCGATAAATACACTGCAAGTTGCTAGTTCAGAATAACTGCCCCTGTCAAAACAAAACCAAAAACCTGGGAGTTTGGGACTGGCAAGAAGAATCCTAAAACTGGGAGTGCCATTAACAGAATTCTGCAAAATCAACTATTGCATTAGCACAACCAAATCCAAGCAAAAACAACCCCAAATCCCATCAAACAAAAAAATATTGTCAATCATTAAAATAATAAAAAGAAAGTATTTTTTGACATAGCTATAAATATCAAGTCATTTATGAAATTGCAACAAATGAAGTCCAGTTGTATATTCTTTTTCCTTTTATTAGACAGGACAGAATTTCCTTAAAATGCTATAACAAGTCACAGTGATTTTAGATGTTTTTTTTGAAATGTTATATATTGAAGGGAAATACCTTTAACATGGTTTACCTTTTTTTGTCACTGTATCTGTACCCTGGTCCACCAAACCATCTATCTTAAAAGTTTCTTGTTTAGAGAGGTCACTCTGTCTTCTTCCTCCAAAAATGAATTTTGTCTAATAATCCTGCAAAATAATCAACCTTACCAAAGGCCTTCTTCAAATGTTATATATATATATATGTATATACATATATATACACACACATACACACATATATATAAATATAGACTTCTATGATTTTTTTCCATTCTACACAACGTCTCAATAAAGAGATCATCAGCAATTTTTATTCTACAAAGAAGCAACACATGAAAGGGGAAAATTAAAGTCTTAAGAACATCATATCCATATTTCACTGATTACACATAAAAGGAAAAAAAATCACCATGAACAACTGTCTTTAAAGTTTTCTCTGATTAGCAAAATTCAAGTGCAGAGAGGCCCCATTTCTCATCATCACTGGCAGGCTGGTTACTGAGCAGCTGAGGACAGCCCCAAGAGGCCCCAACCCGTGTGTCTTGCCCTTCTCAGTTTTCTGCACTTCTCTCCCTCAGAATCAGACGTGGTTGGAATGTATGGAGTTTAGGAAAGGTTCCCACAAAAGACTTCGCCATCGCACTATCCTCTCTAGGCCAGCTTCAGTGTGCTCACTGGGAATGATGGCATGGTTACCATAGTTACCGGATTTAGGACTGTTTGCCCAACTAACTGTGGATGATGGACAACTTGGGTTCCTACAGCAGGTTTGGCCATCACTGCTTGCTGGCCAAGATTTGTGGTTCCATTCACTTGCTGGTGAGAAATAGTGTGAGCAATGTGGCTCACTACTGGCTGGCTGACAGCCACAGGCTGAGGATAGATGGGCAACTGCTGGCCAAGGTGAGCCATGTGATTGATGGTTGCTGGGTGCACAGTGATGTGGCCAATAGGCTGAGCAGCAGTGGTGAGTTGCACAGGGCTGGACGTGGAAGGTGCAATGTGAGCAATGTGCTTGGTCTGTGGACCCTGAATCACGTGGTTGACAGTCTGAATGACCGAAGCATGGGTAGTGGCGGTGTGGGCAATAACAGTCGATTGCACTGTTGAAGCCGCCACGATGTGAGTCTGTGCTGGGACAATCGCCTGCGGCTGGACCAGTGCTTGTGTCTGGATGGGAGGCTGTGCGTGGGCTGGGGTTTGTTTCTGCTGTATAGATAGGTGCTGAGGCAAAACTGCTGGGTGATGTGAAGCAGCATTTGAAGGGACGGCTTTCAGCAGCTCTGGGTGCTGGCGCTGGGTTAGTTTTGGTAATGAGTTCACTGGCCTGTCATCTTCCATGTCTTCATCAATGTTGTCTTCACCCTCTGGAAAAAAAATGAAAGGAAGAAACTCCCATAAAAAAGAAAGCAGAGCATGAACTGGACTAACCAGACTCATCTGAAGGGCAGCAGATAAGGAACAGGTGACAGCAGGAGGAGTTACTGAAACAAGGGAGGGCAGCACAGCACAGCAGGCTACACCAAACCCCAGTGGGGTGGCATGCTCTTGGCTTCCCTGCTTGTGGGCCAGGGACCTGGAGCCGCGCAGGCTGGATTTGCTGTAAGCCCCAACTAGAGAGGACTGCCTATAAAAGGCTGAGAGATCTCATTTGGCAGGCAAGGGAAGCAAAGCTGACCCTGAAGCAGAGGGAGTGGTGAAAAGTGCAAGGCCACTGAACCTTAGCAGAGGTAAACTGAAAGCACCTGGCTCTCATCTAAGGGCTGAACTCCATCTGGGCTGAGGAGCGCGCCGTGCATAAAGAGGAACGGGATTTCTTTTCCTGTTGAGTTATTCTATCAACTGGCACTACCCTTTGTGCTCCCAGAGCAGGAAGGAAACAGTGATGGGGGAACATGGCAGCAAGTTCCTCAGTCTGGTTCTGGAAAAAGGGAGCTCTGTCCAGTTTGTGAACTAATGAGGCAGGGCAGGAATATGCCGACCCTAAGGAGACCAAGATTATGAGCGGGGCACTTTGTGCTGCCAAAAAAAGCCAGCCAAGCAGCAGAGATAAAAAAAAATCTTAGAAGACAAGGAAGCAGCAGGAAAACAAAGGAAGATGCTTCCCTTTTGCAAGCCCGGTATTTAGTAGTAGCTTGAAGCAATCATTTTCAGGAGATGCCAGCTGGAGAGTTGAATGGCTGACACGTCTATTTACAAAGCGCTCCCATCCTTAACTTCCATTGGCCTACGCTCAAAGTCTATTTGTAATTACGTTCAAAGGTGACAAGCCCAATACAAGAAGCTGAATGCAACTAGGAAACCCAAGTCTTCTCTTTCTGGAACCTGCTTTATCTGTCCTGAGTGTCAAGAGCAAATTCTGTTGCTATTTGGAGGAACTGTTGTGAATGTTTACAAACTCCTATATACCCTTCCAATCTCTGGAAAGCAAAGCACCACACATCCATGGCCTGTCTATTTTTCCTGCTGCTGATGACTGGTAAGGTGAAAAGCAAACGTTGTAGTATCTCACAAAAACTTCTTACTGGGAAGAGCATGCATGAAAATGATTTCCTTCTATTAGCATCATTTAATCTTCACTGTGAATCCTTTTCAGACAATGTGAAGGCTCATTAAGCTGTTCAAATGCTCTGGTGACCCTTCCTGTACCAATTCTTTTTTTTGCATGGCTGAACCCCCTCCTAACTTCACGCACAAATACATCAAGATGCTTATATGCCAATCAGTTCTAACAAGCAGTGATGCATATCTGTGTAAGAGGGAAACTAACTTCATGTTTCAATAGGTTTATCAGCAGATTGAATGTGCGAAACAGCACTTTCAGCACTATATAACATTGTCCATGCATGATTCTCAGTGTACTTTACACAGGTGGATATATATTATTAGGCCAACAGTGATTAAGTAGAAGATTTTTCAAGTGTTTTCTAATTCTGAAACCTTCAGGAAACCTTCAGCCTGTCTTCTAGAAATGCTGCCCCTCATTCCCCCCCACCACCCTTGATCCATTTGTAGACTTCTAGAACCATTCTGCATTCTGAAAATCAGACCTAAGAAGGTGAACTTGGGCACCTGGGACTTGAGGAATCTCAGTAAGAGAGTGATTTTAAAAACTGAGTTCTAAAGGTTGTCTGGCTCTGTCATTAGTTTCAAGTCTAATTCCGATTTCAACTCCTAAACACAGGTTTTAGATATATTCTCAAAGTTCAGCTTTTTAAGATTACCTACCTGATCATGCGCATGAATAAAGTCCCATTTAAGGCCATCTCCAATTTCTTCTAGGAGATGCTAGTGCACTTTAATAAAACTTATAACTGGACATCAGGGCATACCTGCACACGATATCCTTCTTTAACCTGCAATGGTTCAGCTCATCCAAAATCATATTTGAATCCTCCAGAATCACTGAAAAGATGGTACTTTCTATTTCGCTAGAAACCAAGTCTGTTGTAATAATAGTCTTTAACAGTATAATACTTAGGTAGGTCCCCCCTGGTGAAAGTAGTACTACTGATAGTATTGAAATATTTTGGGAAGAGTATTTTAACTAGTGTGGACCAAACTAATATGGATTTTTTTTTTACCTGGATGCAACTTATCTGTTCTCAGTATCTGTTATTAAGGAAAACAAATTTTAATGGTGCTAAATGAAGATTCCCTCCCTCAGGCTACCACGAGATGACTGGGTCTGTAATGTACAGTGATGATTACAACAAGAACAGAGAAACTGAGGGTACCTGATGCTGTCGAGGTAGATGCTTGGTCATCCTCTGGCTGAACTGTCTGTCGAATAATTCTGTCAATTTCCAAGATGTCCATCCACTGGCTTAGCTCATTCTTCAATTCTGCTAACCGTTGCTGGGTAGCGATCTTCTCTCTTGCTAGCCGCTCCATTTCGTGTTCATATTCTTTTTCCTTTCTCTTTAAAGTCTAAAGATGGAAGGAAAAAAAAATATATAAGGAGAGCAAAGACAAGTATAATCTACACTGACTTCGTCACTTCCAAATCCATGGCTGGTTTTCTTTTATTACCAGTTATGCTGCTGTAAAACATGTTCAGACATAGTTATGCCTTTCAAATTCAGACAGAGAGGGAAAGGACAAGAGCGAGGCCATGAAAACCTAAAGGGTTACTTTGGCCAGTCACTTTCTGCCTTCTGTAGGAATGCTGATGAGCCCAGAGTAAAGGCATGTCAGCAAAACTGAAAGGCGTAACCAAGCCAACTGTGTATAGAATCAATTCCATAGGTAAATTTAAAGCCTGGAACTCTTTAGGAAAAGCTGCAAAACTTGTTCTCTGAAAAAAGTAGTTTTGCCATTCTAAGGACAGAAAATCATAGTATGCTCCACTACCTTCTTTCTGCATTCTTTCCATTTTCCCTCTAACCTCACCAACAAAACTCAAAAATAAAGAACCAAAAACAATGAATTATGATTCCTCCAGAATGTAGAAGCCAGACCCTTCCCAGTACAGCACTTCCACCCTGCTGAATTCCTAAGCTAAATGCAGAACACTGACAACACATGCGTGCAAACGTTGTCATGAAAAAGCTTCTCGTAAGGACATCAACAAAAGAATCACGAATACAGAGCGCTCCTGGAACAGTGAAGGAAACTGTCCAAGGTCCCAGACAGGTATTTGTTGGAGAGGCAGCAATATAAACCTAGTCTCTCTGGTTCACTCCTCTCTCCTGTTTCAGTCCAAGGGAGCTCCTTGTTGTATTTCAACATCAATTTAGAGTGACAGGGGTCGGTACTCAGTTCCCAACATCATCCTTACTTCACCTGCCTTATGAAATATTTAAAGAGGATTAAGGCTTACAGCAGACTGATGGGAAGGTGCAAAGGAGGTGAAATGGGTGCAGTTCCCTCTGCATCTCCAAGTGAGAGAACATGAGATAACCGTCAGACAGAAACACAATAGCCACACCATCTGAATGGCTGACTACATAAATCTATGACCGAGCATCGCTAAAGGAATGGGAGCATCTACACAGAGAGCAGTGCTGCTGCAGAGCAACCAAATTGCTGACCATGGATTGAAAAAGGTAAAAAAACGTCACACACCCTTGCACTGAGACAGAAATACCAGGCGGAAAACTCTGCTTTCACGCAGGCTGATAAAGCCACAAACATATTCATGCATTTCAAAGACAAGGTATGTAGGAATAGATAGCATCTTTTAGTAAACCAATTGATAGCAGCTGGGAGAAGAGAGACTAGATTTTGGCACAGAATCCCAAACAGGTCTGCACAAAACCATAGGTTGCATTTCCTGAACCTCAGGTTGGTCAACCCACAAATCACAAAGAGAGAGGGAACTTTTATATGGTCAGAAGAAAAGAAAAAGCACAAGTACTAACTAGTTTCTGAGCAACACACACCACAACAAGAGCTCCTGAAGTAGAAGAGGTGGCTAAGTGCCAACAGTACCCTGCATCACAGGGGAAAATCTGAAGTCAAATGAGGAAAAATAGCATACGTTATCCTTTTCTGCTAATGCCCAATCACAGAGTACTGGAATCCTGATACATTAGTCAGCAGAGAAGGGAAGAGATGCTTTGTCAGTCAGCATAATACAAAAAGGTGCAACAAACAGGACAACGCTACCTAGTACTATTAATGGGGAATATAGAGAAAATAGATCTGATAGGAGCCAATTACTGAGCTACAGAAAGAAACACTGGAGGAAACAACAGCTGATCTTCACAAAAGTTTTATGAGATTTCAAGCCAGCTGTGAAACACAGAATATTAGTAATAAAGAACCCTTTCCTCCAGCCCAGGTCAGCACTTATTATGAGCATAAAAGAGACAAAATGAGTAAAATCTGCAAAATCATGCATATCCTGTCCGTTTTCTAAAGCGAGTTTGGCCATTAGGAATCTAAATCACATACACACTTTTGAAAACGTCAGCTATACAGGCCTCTGCAGGGTCTGCATGGGTTCTCTTCTTTATCCATTGCCGACACACGCTGAATTTAAAAGCAAACCTTACACTTATCGGAGTGGTAGAGGATCAGAGTCATAGTCTTCTGAATATGTGCTCTTTAGTACTCTCTGCTCTCAAGTACTCTGGAACAACTGCAATCAGAATTTGACTTCATGCACTTCATTTTAACGGTTCTGTCAAATCAATGGTTTCATCTCAAAAGTTACCTGGAAATAATGTTAAGGAGTGTTCAACCAGGCCCTTATATTCCAATACAATGAATAACTTAGCTCCTGCTTTCTTCTTATAGAAAAGAAAAATTAAAAACAATGTAAGCTTGTCCTGATAATAACAAAAAATGAAGTATTTTTCCCAAACATGACCAAACTGAATATTAGTAGGACACAATCATTTGAGGTGTGTAAATGGAGAAAATTCCTTTAGTCCAGTTTAAAAGCTTTTCTGAATGTACCATTTCCACTCAAAGGGCTAGTTCTGTCCCTGTCACCATTTGTTAAGTTGTAAGAAGGCAGAGGATAAGCCAGTTCCTTAACATCAACATTTTATACTGAAAACCTCCAACAGACCTGTAGCCTACAGTGGTGAGAGGAGTTTTTGAGATGACAGGGTATATGCAACAGGGAAGTTCTTTCAATGCAAGAGATGCAGGTAAGAGGGGTCAGAGACTTCTGGCTCTGTTACAGCGCTGACTTCTAATCTGGAGACTGCTTTTAGATCTATATGGCTGCATATGCTTGAAATCCCTATGCTTGTTTTAAAGACTGTTATTCCGCTGAGTGTGGTTGAAACATTTTGTCTGACCTAGGCAACACAGTAACACTGCATCTGTGCCTCGATTTTTTTGCAATTGAACAGATGTGGGCTGGAAGGAGGAAGGGGACTGAGGGGAAAGCTAAGGCTACTGAGGAAGTACCTTCTCCTGTGTTCAGGTTTAAAATATCCTAGAAAGGAACTTGTCTGAACGTCTTCCCCTTTACTATGTAATCAGGAAAGAAGCTAACAGGAGAAAGCCTGAGACCACAGGCTTCACCACAGACAGCCACACGCCCTGCCTGTTTCTGCAGAACTTCTCTCCACATGCATTCTCCATACAATTATTCAGAAGGAACTATAATGAAAAGAGAGAACACAGTAATACAGCTTTCCAAGAAGATCAGAAATCTATGCAGCCTCAGGACCCATATCTTGCACATCTCAAGCATATTCAGGTGGATTTGTTTTCCTTCCCTGCTGTGAGAGGACTTCAAGCAACAGAAGAAAGCATGACAGATCAGGTTTGGACAGGGGTGGCTGCCTGGGCTTGTAATTAGCTACAAAGTTTTAACTACAGAAAAGGAAAGCAAACCCTTAGCCAACACTACCAGAAGTCTCCTAGAGGCCAGAGTCAGGGAGCTCACATTGTCGCTGAGTAATCCGCTCCTCTTACACATGCTTCTGGGACTGCCTTTTGGAAACCGGCCTGTCTGTATGGCACTGCTCCAAGCCCATCCCTTCCCGGCCGGGCCTCCCTCCTGCCCCTGAGCAGGGCTACACGTGTCAGCAGTCTGAGCCCTCCCTCTGCTGGGAAACGTCTTGACCAGCTGCCAGCTCCCAACAGCCACTTGCTGTAACTGCACATTCCTCGCAAGGCTTGTGCAAACAGCCCTCCTGACACTGGTGTGCTTACGCAGGCTGGGCGCTCTCCAAGGGGAGGCTGCTGCGGAGGCTGTGAGCAGCAGATGGGCTGGAGTCTCTCTGCCGGCATGGGTAGCCTTTCAAAAACTATTCCAGGATGCAATTCACTGTGGCTCACTGTGGAAAGGCTGACTGATCCACTGCTTGGCCTAGTAATGAACTTGGTGAAATTCAGGAGGGCCCTCCTCCTTTCCAGCACCTCCCCTCCCAGTGCTCCCCTGCTCTTTACAAGTGCCACCTCAGCCAGCCACACGTGCTGCCTGGACTGCAGGAGCTGCATGTGTGTGCACTGCCCTTAAGGATGAGCCTGCGAGGCAGGAACAGACCTTCCCGGACCAGCTGGCCTCTGTGCAGCAAAAGGCATTCACCTCTAGCAGGAACTGTTGCTAGGGGATGGGCAGAGCACAACCTGCTGCAGTAACAGGACTGATGCAACACGTGACGGATGGCAGGAGAGGGGACAAGGAGCAGAGACCCTCCTGCCCTCCGGTTTCCTCCCATACAGAACCACTGAGGAGCTGGTAGGGAAGAGAGGTAGGTAAATGTCTTCCCTTGCTCCTCTCTCTGACCAGCCTCATCTATAATCCCTTTGGACAGACTGCCGCCTGGCATCTGCCTGTCTACAGGTTGTTTTCAGATCATCCTGCCCGTGTCAGGTGCCTGATTTTCCAGTCACTCAATAGAAAACGCCATAGAGATAGCCAAACACTAGTCATTTGGACTCTGCTCACCTATATACCCTCAAACACAAAACTTCTTTAGAGACGTGCCCTAGTCCTCAATATATTTTTGTTAAAGACAGGAATTTCTTATAACAGCAGAAGTATCATAATGGATCCTACCCTATTAAAAAATAATCATAGCAATTACATTTATTTTTAAAATAAGAAGCAACCACGCACACACTCCTTTCACCAAATGCAAACCTTTTAGATCTTCAACAGAATTAGTACCTAAGGTTAGAACTGAGAAGGGCAGAGAAGGGACCCTGAAACCACGCACATGAAACAGATAATTAAGAATTAAATTTCAATAAAGAAATTCATACAAATGCCTGAACACCTCTCTTTCAAGGTTTCACATTACATTAAGCCGGAGGCATGTGTATCTGGGACAGCTGCAGGTTTTTAACTGCTATCTGACCCACTTTCCCTGGCTGCCACTCCTACTGGAAACTGCTGGGAACAGCAGAGGCTAAGACTCTGTCTGATACGGCGCTCGTTGCTGGGATAAAGATTAAGCTGTCTGCCAAGAACTGGAAGGATGCACATTCCCCAGGTTTGACCTAGGCCTCAAGATTCA